GGTAACAACTCAGCACAGCAAACTACTTGAATAAAATTTAAACAAAGTTCCTAGAGAAGTTGTCATGCTAAGAGCTCATGTACACTGCAGCTGATAAACTGACATTCAGGACCTTTTCTGCGTTTTTTTTTCAGCAGCCCCTGAACTCTCCCTAATGTTTTCCTATGTGTCCATGTACACTATGTCATTTACAGTCATTTACAGGCAGTTGAGTTTACAGTCATTTTTTTGAATGCACCAAACTTGTGTTCAGGAGTAGATTTTATCAGTGTTTCAAACGGCAAACGCTTGTAAATGCATGTAAACGCGGCTAACCGTGTTGATGAGCGTTTGCGCTTAGAAGCGTTTTTTAACTGTTCCATATCCAGATGCTGTCCAGAGCCTTTTTTCATCATCAGAAATTCATGCAAAGCGTTTTCCATGTATTCAAATGGACCCAGTACACCAGTGCAGTCAGTTCCAGGTTTTGTGTGAAGGGAAAAATGGTAGAACGTGCTGCATTATGCTCATGATGGGATCCATAGTGAATACAACCAGAAAAGACAGGTCATCTCAACACATACTGCTCTCTCTGCTTCTGCTCTCTCTATTTCTCTCAAAATGTCTGAAATAGTTAATTTTTTACTGTTTTTCAGTACATTCTGGGTATTTTGGAAGGTCTCCTGATGTTATCTGTAAAAAAACGCTTCTAAACGCAAACGCACATAAATGAGCATAAACGCGGTATGCAAATGCGGCTAAACTGACGTTTTTTAACCTATGTTTTCCAGCAGTCAGTTTCCATCATTCAGCAGTGTTTTCCAAATGTCCTGTGTACATGGAGTCTAAACCAGTAACACTAGAAAAGCTCATAAAACCTTATCTTACATTAACTCATTCTGCTTTGATACTTTTTGATACATAAATTACAACTTACTTGCATAAAACAGTTTTTGAGGGCTCGCTCACACTAGAGTGCGGTGCTGTAAACCTAGAAAAACTGTACTGGGTGTGCAATCTGCTGGGGGTGTCAGTGTAGTCTTAATAACACCCTAAAAGCAGATTGCAAATGAAGTGCGTTTTTTGCAATCAGCTGCAGTGCGTTTTTGAAAAGTTGTGCATGCACATTTTTGGTGTGATCCAGTGTGAGTTCAGCCCATTCAAATGAATGGGCTGAAAATCGTATTGCACTAAATAGCACAGGAACACGGAACGCTTACTCTGGTGGGGGGAGCCAGGAATGCCTTCAGGTGACCCGAGATGAGGAATCGGGGCTGCTGCGAGCAAAATTGCTGCACCGAGCAAGTAGGTATGACATGTTTGTTATTTTAAAAAAAGAAATCCAAACCTTTATTATCACTTATATATTTCAAATATGGACAGCGCTAAGATCACACATAGACAAAATAAACTGTGCAATCTTTAAAGTGATAACACTGAGCAAAATACAAATACAATATTACTAGTCAGTCCCAACATGTGTGAATAATTGGTGCAACGGTGCTGTATCTTCAATGGTGATACTCCATATGGAAAGACAAGTGCTTCACTGTGTTCACACTGCCCCACATAAATGTAAACTCACCATCATTTCATGACCACCTATCTCTAGGTAAGTTACACTCGCTTTTTGAGACTATCCCAGTTTGCAATCCGGTCCTGATGGCCGATGTTAGCTTCGTCCTTATAAACGTGGTTGCTGGTAGTAACCGATAACTTTCCACTATATCTGCATCAATGTTGGGCAACTCCTCTCCTCCACAGGCAGTATTTCATATTTTCAGCATAAATCAAAACAAAACCAGACATCCCATAGTGTAAAACTGTATAAAACTTTAATATGGGGTCAAACAATAGAAATGCCACTCACAAAAAAAGTGCCTTTCCTGGCACTAGGTGTATTCAGCTTTGTATATTATGAATGGGAATTAAGATGGCCACCGTATTCCAGCATGTGTTCCAAATCTCGGAAGTGACTTCAGCAGAAGTTATATCATAAGCCCTCGACTAGTTTGGACCAATAGATTGCCCTCAGGAAGTACAAACCAGCGGAAGCTGTGTCATAAGCCCTCGATTAGTTTCGCCCAATAGATCGTCCTCAGGAAGCGCAACAGCACCCCTTTATTATCACTGGTTTCTGGTTTTCTGGACAGTTCTGTATCAGACTACAAATGAGAAATAGCTAGAGAACACAGTAGGGAATTAAAACATTTAATTACAGTATGGGATATTAGACAAGACTTTTTGATCAAACTCAACAGTCTTTATGACCACTGGCTTGGCACAATAGTGTGACATGGATGTGTGGGTCAAAGACCAAGTTTCTGCTTTGCAAATCTTCTGGGCAGCTGCCTAGAGAAATTGCTTTGAACACACAATCTAAAACTTTTTGTGTATATGCAGTGTAATAAAGATTACAATTTATTTTATGTAACAATTTGTGTGACTTGTTTTTGGTATAAAAAAAATCCCTCATCCAGATAAAGGATGTTTAATTGAATGGTCTGATGTCAGGGTCTCTTTAAGACATTCCAGAAAGTTCCAGTAACGCAGATTTTAAATGCCAAATTGTTATCTATATTGTAACAAAGTATTCATGATAAAGCACATAGTAAAGTGTTCCTAAACAATTATGAAATTGTCTGATAAGTATGACGGAAAGATTAACTGCCACAAACAAACAAAAAAAAAACCCTCTTCACAGAATATAACTGTAATGCCTTGTACACACTATCAGTTTTTTTTTGTTCAACCCAGAGGACTAAACGTAAAAAAAAACTGAGAGACCGCTGTACTAACATAAGTGGTGTTAGTACAGCGATCTCTCCCACTATGCTATTGTGTTCTGCCAGGGGAACTACCCCCCCTCCACCCACAGAAACACAATAGTCAGTGCTCTCAGCCATTGGCTGAGAGTGCTGATTGGAAACCGATCGGCAGACCTTTTTTTAGCCATGCCCCTTCAACAGAAGCCAGAAGAACGTCCAGCTACTGTTGGACTGGCTGCCATACACACGGGCCAAATGTCGTCCGGTTTCTGTTGCCCCGGTCATTTCCGCCATGTGTTCAGGGCTTTAGGTCAGGACTCAGCAGCACCCCCTCAGGTAAGGCAAGCATGTCTACTGGTACTAGATTACAACCAGGACCTAATGCACAAACCTCCACTGATCAGTCATAGCACTATGGACTCCACTAGACCTCTGAAAATATGCTGTGGTATCTGGCACCAAACCATCTGTAGCAGAACCTTCATGTTTCAAGGTGGGGCCTCCATGGATTGGACTTGTTTATCCAGCATATCCCACAGATACTGGATTGGATTGAGTTTGCATTGAGAATTTGAAGGTCCAATTGGATTGAGAATTTGGAAGCTAAACCAGCACCTCAATTGTTATTGTTGTGGTCCTCAAACCATTCTTGAATTCATCAGAACAGGCCACCTTCTTCCATTGCTCCGTGGTCCAGATGTGATATTCATATGCCTATTGTATACGCTTTTGGCTGCACGTCAAGGCAGATCAGGCGCACTTGGTTCGAACGAACGCTATCACAAGCACAGAGGCACAGGCTCATAAGGTTTAATTAAGGCCCCCCCTGCACCAGGAGCCAATCCTAGAGTTGGGAGGAATGTGCTGAGAGTCCTTGCTTGGCAACTGATAGGGACTAATGCAGGCCATAGACAGGGAGAAAAACGGCCATTTTTTTTTTTTTAGAAAAAGGACAAATCGGTCGTTCAATCAGCCGACGTTACCACCATTGGTAAAAAAAAAGTTGGCTGATTTTCGTCCCGTCTACGGCCGGCAATTATATAGAATATAAGAAGAAGAAATAGAATATGCAGAAGAAGAGAAATATAATATGAAAGTTGCAACATTGTATCTATTTGTATCCATTTTGGATACAGATGTTTCTATTCGGATACAAATAGATACAACGTTGCTATACTTTTAAATGTCAAATATAATATCGGACTGAAATTCTTTTTTTTTTCTTCTTATTTATATTCTATTTCTTCTTGTTCATATTCTATTTCTTCTTTTTCTTCATCTTCTTCATATTCTATTTCTTCTTTTTTCTTCTTCTTATTCATATTGTATATCTTCTTCTTTATATTCTATTTCTTCTTTTTATTCATATTCTATTTCTTCTTCTCATTCATATTCTATTTTTTTCCTTTTCGTCTTTTCCTTCTTCTTTCATGTCACAGCTCATGCGCAATTTTTAAAATCGGAAAAAGATCGGCAGATTTGTCCATCATTGCCGCGAAAACCGTCAGAACGACAAATTTGGCCGATTATTTTCCAGCAGGACCGATAATGCAAAATGGACAAAAATCACTAAAAACGGCCGACCGATTACCGCACTAACGATCCTAAAATCGGCCGATTTTTTTTTTGTGCCCGATTTTTGGCCGTTTTTCATCTCATCTATGGCCCGCATTAGAGAAAGTATACAGTATGGCAGCAGTGAGTGAGCTCTGGGAGGCTGTATCCTATTGCCCGGCAACTGGAACACAGGCTGGAATAGGAAGGAGAGACACTGTGTCCTGCTGCCCAAAATGTAAGAAGAGAGCGGCTGCTGGCGGAAGGGTAAATATGTAAGCCTTCACACAATAATTGTAAACGAATAACTATGATCCTCCCTCTGAACAAAATTTAGGAGGATATAAATTATCCTAAAGCCTAAAATGTAAAAAAAAAGTTGCATGTCTGTGCAATGGTTTCACATCTTAGGAGTTTCATGGGTATTGTCAGGATCCCAGATGACAGGTCAGATCTATATATCCCTCAAACAGCCAAAACAGGCTCTCACTATGTTGCAGGCTCTGGAAGTACCTGGTCACTAGTGGTGGGGTTGGCATTATTTGATGGCACTCCCAGAGTGTCTTTGGGATGAACATGCTCTTGGAAAGCACCAGCAAGATAGGCCAAAACAGACTAATGATCACTAGATAAGTTCATGGCAGGGGCGGACTGACCATTTGGAAACTCGGGCACTGCCCGAGGGCCCGGGGTCAGTAGGGGGCCCCATGAGATGCCCCTGGTACCTTTTTCATAGGCGTTTTTGAGTTTGGGCAAGGACACAGGGGCCCCATGATCCCCTATTGCCCGGGGGCCCCATGAGTTGTCAGTGCGCCCCTGGTTCATGGATAGGTATGGGCCAAGAGTTTTATACAGCTATGCAGAGATAGAGCCAAAATGTGAGACAAATGTATGGTTAAGAATTGTAGCCAAAGTTTTTTGGTAGGGCAAAGCATCAGTACTAGACTGGGAATCAGAGTCAAGGAACAAAAACAATGATCAGGGCAGCCTGTGCAAATGTGAGAAAGTGAATTGCTTGGTCAGAGAAGTTGTGAATGTCACTTGCAGGAAGTAATAACAATATCAATAGTGATAGCAATCTGAATGCTACAAAGGGCAAGCAGCCAGCATCATAGGTCTCTTATGTAGTGAATCCAATGACACCAATGGTTGTAGCTGCCTGTAAAGGAAACATTCTTCCCACTGACTACCGATGTGGGAGTTCAGCTTTGCCGTCTTACAGGCAAAATTCCCCTTGCTCTGTTCTGCTTCTGCACCACCATCTTGAAAAAAGATCTGGCATATGCACAAACATGCCATGGGTCCTTGCTATGTGACATAGACCAGGTAGAGACCCACAGTGTATTTGCATATGCATCAAATCCCTTCATGCATGCACAAGTGCCTCTGGGCCATGCCAGAGACCTGGTAGAGGCCCACAGCAACCCTGTGCATGCATGGAATCCCGCACACTACCTCCTGGTGTACACATCCTAGGATGCTGCAGTGGAAGTGAAGATGAGAAAATAATATTTATGGTTACACAAAAAAAAAAACAACATACAATTGTGTAAGAGGGAGGGAGAGAGGATGTTTTTCAAATAGGTAAAGGTATGCATTAAGCTGCCTGTGGATTCTGCCAAGTCAACAAGTGGCCATGCTATCTGCCAAGAACTGCGTCTTCGGTATCCAAGTGTAAGGCCTTGAAGGTTTGTTAGGTAGTTTTTGTTAGACAGAGGCTGAACAGCAGCCTGGGGATGAGTCAGGCTGGGGAATGAGGTAGTAAAGTTACCTCAGGACAGGCAGGGAGTCTTTAACAGGTCAGGGCTTCTGGAGCCCTCCCTTCTTTTCAGAAACCTGAGAACTTTCTGAAACAAGGGAGGAGAAGGTAAGGAAGCCCAGCTCTGCATGTTTGATGCACCTTGGCCAATCCCCTGACATGGGGCTGGGCATGGTGACCAAGGCAACCCTCAAATGTGGCAGAGCCTGGGGGGAGGTGTGCAGAGTCAGATGGAAGATGGATTGAAAGGAAGGCTGGAGTGTGGAGAATGGGGGGGGGGTCCCGGGGGGGGGGAGCCTACCTACAAGTAAGATGCTGAACGGGAGGATCTCTACTGCCCCAAAGTCTCTTTGGGAGAAGAACCTGTTAACAGGGAAGGAGCCAGCCCAGCAAAAGGCCTGAAAGCAGCCACCAATCCACCACACTGACAGGACAGTGTGAGTACCCCTACACCCCCTGGGCCAGATAAGGGGGAGAGGGCGGTCAAGTGCAATACTGTCAAGGCCCTACCTTTTCCCAGAGGTTATGCTGCTCCATGTGCTGGCATCCATCTTGGGTTTCTGCAGAGCATGGTGGGAGTCTTTTATGCCTTCAGGCCTCTGCGGTCCATCCCCCAGAGGGGTGTGGTTGATCACATTTAAGCCTGTTGTCTGCACTTGCTCTTTGCATTCGTGTCCTGTATGATAGTGTTGTTGTAAGCTCTTGTTCTACTCTCGTGGCTCTCCTGGAAACTGACTCAGCTTTGTCTAAGACTATTCTCAGCCTTATCCCTTAATCTGACCTCCCGTTGCTGAACCCGGCTTGTGACCTGTGTATTCTTGTCTACCGTTCTGTACTGTCTGTCCCGCTGTTATCGACCCGGCCTGTCCGACTATGCTATCATTCTTATCTGGTTCCTACCAGCTATACGCCATTGGCGGCGGCCATTACCGCAGCTGGGGTTTCTCGGGGGCCGCGACCTGGTCCCTGGCTGCGTCAAGTCCATCCCCACCATCAGGGACCCTGGTGAAGGGCAGCCTGGGGCTTAGACTCCGCGCCCTGAGGGACTCCGGTCTGTGGGTGGTGGTTGTCGTCAGTCGGCGCTTGACCCTGCCATTAGGCCTGCCTGTCCATTCAACAGCTCCTGCCCTGACAAATACCCAACTAGTCTTCACCTGGGACTGCTTGATTGCAAGCTCTTGGAGTCCACTTGCTCAGGGATACGCTCAGCACAGCTGGGTGAAGAAGAGGATTCATGCAGGGTCTGAGGAGGTACACCGAGAACTGGTCAGTGCTTTATTTTGCCAGTCCATCCTTTTTGTACACAGTGGCTGAGGAGTTTGTCCTCAAATTCCACAGTTCTTTGGGCAGCCCATATACCCTTAGACCCCATCCAAGTTGTTAACCCTTAACTCCTCCCTCCCCTTCTGGGTCAAAGTTATATTTTTGCATATATCGGCATTTGAAACAGAACACCTACATTGACCACTAATGTAGCAGGGCATTCTTACCCCTAACCAGCAGCGTAAGTGGACCTATGAAAGCACTGAGTAAGTTTTTTGACCCCTTAAAGTGATGCTAAACCCATAACAGTAAAATCAGTCTGTATATGCGGTAAAGCATGCTTGTTATACTCACTGTGGAACCTAAGGGGTTAATTATCCACATTGTGTAAAAAGGATGTTTGATCCTCTCTTCTCTAATCCTCCCCTTTTTCCATTGTCCCCTAAATATCTCCTGATAGAGCAGAGGTTTGGAGTCACCCTGCACATGCTCAGTTTGGTGTGTATTGCTAGAGAGAGATTTTTGTTTTTCTTGGGAGAGTGCATGTGATCAGCACAGGGCCAGTTAGCACTGTCCAGGCACAGGTCAGGGGTCTTGCATCCTCCTAGAGCAGAATGAAAACTCCTCCTACAAGCTTTAACCAGTGCTCTGCTGAACACTGATAGAAATCACAAGACTGTTCCAACTGCTGATGAGTAAAGATATTTAGCAGTTTATATTTACTAATATAATTGCATTTCCACAGCTCACATGTCCGATACAGTTCACTTCAGTGAGAACCCAACCACTAGCCCTATTGTACACCATATTATACTCTGAACGGCTGACCATCCAGTCAGACACCCAATGGGTAGGTTCCTGATAAGTATTATATCTGTAATATAAGTACATGACCGTGCACCTTTCAGAAAGTAAGCTAAAAAATTATTTTACATATTTTTACACAATCTGCTGTCACTAATGTAAGAAATAAAACTATAATGTCAAATAAACCAAATAAAAACAATTTGTACTTTCAATGACCACAAACAATACAGAATGTCATTGCAGAAGAGAACACTCCTTTCATGTTCCACCTGTTTCCTGTTGGATGGTTTTGATGGAACAGGCCACAACTTACACGTAAATGGCCTTGGAAGTAAGCCCAGAAAAAATGTTTGATTAGGCAACTGATTATTTTATTTATTTAATTTTTGTTGTCATTAGAAGATAACTAGTCCCTGCTTAAATATGACAATACAATCATCACAACCACTTGTGGAATTTTGTAGTTAAATTAGACACTTACCAAACTACAGTAAATTCTTTTAGTTTTCAGCAGACCTTTTGTCAATTCGGAATGTAATAATCTAATAAAGTGGTTTAATTGGAAAGTTTCAAACCGTCAATCCAGGACAAGTGAAAACAACAGAATGATATAAATCATTATACGCAAGGCCAAGAATTTAGTGAGTTGCTGTTTGGATAAAGACATTTATAGAATGAGATCCAAGATTATGCAAATGTCACCTTTTGGTTTGAGAGCTGTGAAAAGGTTGTGATAAAAATGTATACTCAGGCACCTGAAATGCTATCTGTCTGCAGAGGCTAAAAGACATCCCCCCACTTCGTAAAGTGGGGGCATCCCTGCATGCCAAAGAGGACTTGTCTGCAAGTTTGGGAGAGTTTGCGGTTGAACTGGGCTCCTGACTTAGGATGGTTTTAGAGGTTGAAGCCTGGAAGCAATGAAAGACCTCTTTCTGACCCTGAAGGAAGGGGGTTGGAGGTGGTTCTTCCCAACTTGAAGGAGGTGCACAGAAGATCTATCCTCATGTCCACTGATAGGAAATAGTCTCGTCTTATTTGGGAAATAAGACGAGACTAAACCACTAAGCAACTTATTCACTCCCTTGTTATCACTCCCTCTTGTTATCACTCTCCTTGATCTGAATTGCTGCCAACTCTCCACCCTAACCGTTCATTGGCCTACTGGCTTCATTGCCCAACAGGCTATTAACAATAACATATAAAGCCATTTATAACTCTGCCCCAAATTACATCACCAGTCTTGTCTCCAAATATCACCCAAACCGTACTCTCCACTCCTCGCAGGACCTCCTGCTCTCTAGCTCCCTTGTCTCCTCCTCCCATGCTCATCTCCAGGACTTTTCCAGAGCTTCCCCATGCTCTGGAACTCTCTACCCCAATTTATCAGACTATCGCCTACTCTGCTCACTTTTAGGTGATCTCTGAAAACCTATCTATTCAGGGAAGCCTATCCTGCCCTCGGCTAATAATGGAATCTTCTTCTCCTCCTACCAGTCCATCCCCCACAGTTACTACCTTTTATACCACTAGCCCCTCCCTCCTAGATTGTAAGCTCCAAGGAGCAGGGACCTCCTATCCCTCTTGTATTGAACTGTATTGTTGCTGTATTCTCTCCCTTTATATTGTAAAGCGCTGAGCAAACTATTGGCGCTATATAAATCCTGTATTATAATAATAATAATAGGGCAGCAGGCATGAGCTCTAATTGCTCTACAAATAGGGGTTCAGTGTGGAAAAAACTTGATCCTTTTTTATGAGTTGAATACATTACATTCCCCTAAAGTTTGACAGAATGGAGCTGTGGCGGGCTTCAATGCTAGGCCTGCCAGAGAAAACAAGGTTTTTGAAAGAATCTCCAAACCTATATCCATGGGATCCTTAAACATTGTCTCTTGTGAATATCAGGCATGGTGAGAAGATTATACTTTATAATGCCTACACAACACTCCACCTTGTGACACAGCACTCAATTTCTCACTGCTTTAAGTACCGTAGTAGCTCC